AGGCCCTTTGAGCTGAAAAAATACCTACAGCCCATGGCCAAGGGCACCAGGTGAAGCCCAACAAGAGATAGGCCAAAGACAGTGCTGATGCAGCCAATTCACTGTAGAGGATTTCCATCCAGAGAAGTATGGGTGAAAAACCTACAGTGTCCTGCCTGGTGGGGCTGCCAGAGGGATGACATGGGCTGATGCCTACACAATGTGACCATACCTGCAGGCAGCACTGCTAACGGCATGCTGTAAATTGCACATACTGAAGACTGTAGTAATACTATCTAGAGGTGATAACATCATCAGGTTCTACTCAGTACTCCTCTTGCTTAGAGATCATGTAAACCCTGCCTAGGCAATGTGTCCCACTGGGACGTGGCTCCCAGCTGAACGAGCCAGACAGCCTCTTCCTCCTTCTGGGCTCCCAGTGTTTCAGGATTTGTATGGCTATGCATTTGTGTTCCGTTTTCTTTATATATGTATGACCTTGTATTTAACTTAATGACTGCTTGAGATTTAATGTTATTTTTCTTTAGGGTGTGTAGTTTAAGTGAACAGATTTATTTATTTATTTATTTATTTTTAAAAGGAAAATCATTTACCTCTATTCAGTATTTTTTCTTGAATAACAGGTAACTTAACTGAAAAAAATCATTGGGAAGCATTCATTTTATCTGCATGCTAACTAAAATTCATGACTTCCTAATGTGCCTAATTCTAACTGGAATTCCATTACTAATTATTTTTATTATATCAATGGTAGTGATCACCAACTCACACAAATTAAGTAACACAAATTAAGTAACAGAGTCCCTAAAATGGGCATCGCAGGGAATTACATTCAAACAAACTTTTAGGAGTAGATTCAGAGTTCCTGATTCCTAAACACATATGCAAGCATGTAACATTGTGTTCTCAGCAGTCCATTGAATTTAATGGTTATTTATAGTATACGAAGTCATATCATTAAGTAGATGCATAAGTCATTGCAATAGAGGGGCTACAGATTTTAAGAAACTGTTATGACCATCCTGCCTGACCTTGTGCACATCCCCAAGCAGAATACTGCCTACCAGTTTCATTCATGGAGCCCAAGAGCTTCCAACCAGCTGAAGTGGATCACAGTTCTGTTTAGATACTGTGTTCGGGGTGGGTTAATTTTGCATATTTATTCTTCCATATATTATACGTAGTGGCACCTTACTGCTTGTAAAGGAAGGATGACTTTGACTAGTTGTTCTGCATAAGTCTATAGCCCCTGGTGATAATATAGCACAAGGAAAGTATATTTTAATGTCAGCACAGCGGACACCCAGGATAAAGCTCTAAGGAGGGAACAAAAACTCTGTCAGGCCCATGCACTCTCATAATCTTTTTCAATATGAAACCAATGAATAATATTGACTAGCTGCCTTGCACGATTATTGATACAGCTCTGATAGATGCCACCCTGCCAACCAGAATGGTTAAGACCTGCTCAATGTGCTATACGTATTTCTTTGTGAAAGCCTCAGAATCAAAAGACTTTTTCTGTATGCACAAGTTTATGGTTTTATTAAACTAAAGAATATAACTTAAGGTTTTGGGGACCCCAGTAGAAACCCTACAAGATCTATCTGCCCTGGGGTTTGGAAACATCACCTGGAGTTACTTTTGAAAATGACTTTCAGTCATGATAGCCTTATTTGAGGGGCAGGAAACAGCCAGTGCACTCTTTCTGAGCACCTGATGACTTCGACCATTTCTGTAAAAAAATTAGTTCTTTTCCTTTGGTGATCACATCACAGGAAAACAACGTATTTATAAAAATTAATTCAGTAACTCAGTATCTGTTGACACACTGTTTGGTTTCTGTAAGACTTTCTCGCAGTGTCAGGATGCCCTGTTTACTGGTATGTTGAAGATTAATAATTCATTTGAACTCTAGACTAGTTCATTTGACTGAAAATACCATGTTTCACATCAGATTTTTTTTCCCCACAGTGATTGACAGGTATTGAAAGCAATAGGACTGCTAACAGGCTTGTTCATACACGGGTGGGCGGGTGATGTGCATGTCATTGTGTTTCACATTGCTGGAATTGTTCTAACACTGAGCAATGGTTGACACTTGCAATATGTGGGAAAGCCTTTGTATCACTTTTCTCAGTAACTGAAATTGAGATTGGACTTGGCTTTAGTTTTTAAGTAATACCATCATTGTCTTTAATATTGCTAATCAGTCTGTCTGGTGTTTTTGGTTTAGATTTTCTCCTGCGTGGGATGTGTGATCGGCCCAACGTTCAGGTAAGAGGTTTCTTAGATTCTAAATGTGACAGCTCTGAAGTGAGCTATTACTGAGTCAGAGAGTTAAAGGGATGATAAAGGTATAGGGAAAAAAAACCCAGAGAAGATAAAGGAAATTTCTCACAGAGAAACTAGATTAACTTTAGCATCCCAGTTCGATAAAGAGAATTTAGAGGATGATTACAAGTGGAAGCTTTATTTCTGGCCAAAGTGAATAACAACAAACCTTCATTATTAGACAGTGCTCAGCTAAAGGGTTCAATGCAACTCAAGATCCAAAGTGTAATGGTATCAGCAGGGGTGTTCAGCCTCTACTTAAAACCACTACTCTGTACCTGTGAACAGAAAGACAACTGCTGTTATACGTTTCCAAAGAGACCCTTCTTATCCAGAAGCCTGATATCTGTGCCTAGCCAGTTTGCAGAAATTATAATAGCCAGTAGTATTACTATACTGTAAATAAGTAAATATGGTGGTTTGGGGAGCTGTCAAAATGGCTTTTGTAAAGGTAAGTTATGCCTCACAAATCTGTTGAAGTAATTAAGAAAAGCTGATGAGTATATGGATTGAGTGAAGTCCAACTGATATAATTACTTGGACTCTCAAGAGACTTTAAGTGATCTGGAAAGTACATGAATACTAGGGTGATGACATCTGCTGATGAAACAAAGCTCTTCAGGGTAATAAAGACAAGGCCCGACTGTGCAGAGTTGCAAAGAACCTTAGTTTAAAAATGGGAGAAGGAATACAATACAGATAGATGCAAAAATTGAGCAAAGAGGAAAAAATGCTGATGTTACCACTTGTGGCTCTGGAATTACATTAATTGGGACTGTTCTGTGGAAATGCTATGTAATGATTTAAAAAGCGAAGTAAATCTCAGGAATTGTTAGGAAAGAAATTGAGAAGATAACAGAAAATAGCATTATGCTGCAGTACAAATCTATGGTGTATCCACACCTTCAACACTGTGGTTCTGGTCCTTCTGTCTCAAAAATAATGTATTGGAGTTGGGAAAGTGTCAGAAAAAGGCAACAGGGTTGAGCTGAATGTATGGGCCATTGTTGGAGACAGGTGACTGGGTTTGATGGACTTCAGTCACTGTGGTCATTCTTATGTTCAAAAATTCTTATAAGTTGAACCTTTGCTCAGTGTCACAAAAATCATCATTAAGAAGAGAGGTTAGTCTTCCTTGAAAAAAAATCAAGAAAGTAATAGTCTGGTGTGAAACATGATACTCTTCTAGGTCCCCTTGTTGGAAAAATACACCTCATAAGGAAAAGCATCTCTAAAAAGAAGTTTGACTCACAGAAAGTTGATGTTTATAAAAAATCAAACACGCAAATTCAAAAAGCGTTGTTTCTTACGTTAGGATTCAGGCACTCAAGAGAGGCTGTTTGACACCAAGGTGTTAGTGCTTTACATCGAATACATGATGCTCTTGCTCCACAGATTCCTAACTGAGTGACTTTCAGTTCTTGTCAGATGGCATGAAACTGTACCAGTTATGACTGCTAGAGGCGTTTCTCCTCGGTGGCTGGGGGGAGGCTGGCCTGGTGGTTATCTTCTTGGAGATGTTTGGCGCCTTTCTTTTTAGCCCTCACAGCATGCTTCAAAGCCATTCATGACGCATATTCAGGATCTCTTTCAAGACAGCTTGGGCTGGCATAATGTAAGCGACATTCTGGTACTTGTGGGTGGATCTGAGTGAAAGGTCTCAAGGAAATCTGTCTTAGGATGTTTTCTTCAGGTTTATAAAGATTTCAGTTGAATCTAAAGAAAGGTATGGAAAGCTTGTAGATTGTATTCTGTGATACCTCAACTTCCACAACCTTGTATCACCATTCTCGACTAAAACATTTGATTTCTTTTTCCAGATTCCCTTAACCAGTCTATTCTTCCTCTTGAGGGAATCACCACTCCACAAGTCATTACAGTCATTCACCAAGTGCATGATCAGGAACATCTCAGTACTCGGAACATGCTGTGAGGCAACACATTGAATTCTGGTACCCAACACCTGACTTCAGCATTTGAAGACTGAACTTGGAAGAGAAAACCTGAATGGTCTGGAGGAATAAATGAAAACAGAGTTCTGCATTTTCCAGAAAGAGGTCTTGATTTACAAGTCTGGCAGAAATTGTTTACAGAAAGAATCCAGACCGTATTGTTTTATGTCATGGGTGCTCTACTAATAAAGTGTCCCTTGTAAATATCAAAAACGTGACATTCAGCTATTGGAGAGGAAGGGAAAATACTCTTGAGGATAGCTTTGTCCCAAGCACAGGGACATCAATTACATGCCCAGATGTTTCTTTTTTGCCCTCTCACTCTTCACTATTGACTTATGCATCTTTGCAGAAGATTAGTTCAGAAAGAAAGCGTGAAAAAAAGAATGATTTAGTCATCTGCAAGACAAAAATAAAAATCACCTAAATTCCCACCACTTACAGTACCGTTTGTATTGTCATATGCCAGAATCATGTCTGGATGATTATTTTAACATTTTGCTTTAACAATGATGTCATTGATGCGATGTGGTGGAAAGTCTAGCTTAGGAGAGTACCTCATCTACTGTGTAAGCTGAAGTTTTCAACAAGTTGATATTTCGTCAGTGTTGGACTCCAGTATGAAAAGTTCTATTTCAGTGAAAAAGTAAGCATCTTTATTCATCGTCCCAGAAAGATTACACTGGAAAGTGAAAAGTGAAATCAGAGCAGAGGATGACTCAGTATAACCATTCAGCAGAGCTCTCTCTCCAGAGCTCAGCAAATAAGTCATTAAACTTCACTGTAACACCACTGGCTTTGGATGAAAGGACACTATTAGGGCTGAAGATCTCACTGTCAGTCCTTCTGTCTGTTATAACTTTGGCAACGATCCTTGCAAACATTTTTGTTGTTATTACAATTTTTCTGACTAGAAAGCTCCACACACCTGCAAATTACCTCATTGGCTCCTTGGCAGTGACTGATTTTCTAGTGTCTGTCCTAGTAATGCCCATCAGTATTGCTTACACTGTCACCCACACATGGGCCTTTGGCCAGGTGTTGTGTGATATCTGGTTATCATCAGACATCACATGTTGCACAGCCTCAATCCTACACCTCTGTGTTATTGCACTGGACAGATACTGGGCTATCACAGATGCTTTGGAATATGCCAAACGCCGGACTGCTGGCCGAGCAGCCCTCATGATTGCCATGGTCTGGATGATATCTGTTAGTATTTCTGTGCCACCATTTTTCTGGAGGCAAGTGAAAGCTCATGAAGAAATTGCAAAGTGTACTGTGAACACAGATCAAATTTCCTACACAATTTATTCCACTTGTGGAGCTTTCTACATCCCAACTGTGCTCCTCCTGATATTGTATGGTAGAATTTATGTAGCAGCTCGATCCAGGATTCTGAAGCCACCCTCGTTATATGGGAAACATTTTACTACTGCACACCTGATTACTGGCTCTGCTGGGTCTTCCCTCTGCTCCATTAATGCTAGCCTTCATGAAGGGCATTCCCATTCAGGTGGATCCCCAATATTTATCAATCATGTTAAAATAAAACTTGCAGATAGTGTCCTGGAAAGGAAAAGAATTTCTGCTGCAAGAGAAAGGAAAGCCACCAAAACTTTAGGCATTATTCTGGGAGCTTTCATTTTCTGCTGGCTGCCTTTTTTTGTCATGTCCCTAGTCCTACCAATATGCCAAGATGCTTGTTGGTTTCATCCCATCCTGCTGGACTTTTTTACATGGTTAGGTTACTTAAACTCCTTGATCAATCCAGTCATTTATACAGCTTTTAATGAAGACTATAAACAAGCTTTCCAAAAATTAATACATTTCAAAAAGTGTTCATCATGAGCCTCTCCTGTTGTGTTACTGACCCTTGTGCAATCTTGCAGCCTACCTGGAAACTTTCTGTGCTTTTATTTCTAAGGTATGGAGTGGTAATTGCCATCTCTGCTGCTACCCTGTGCTGTGCATGTAACTGTGAACTTCTTGCCAATTTGGTACTTTCTGTCTGGAATTCTGTATCCCATAACAAAACTTGTCTGTGGTCTCTGCAGTGATCGTTTGTGTATGTAAGATCAACACATGAATTAAGCTTTGTACCAGGTGAAGGAGTGTGACCCACAGAGCTGAATCTGTGTGATGAGAGGACACATGGTACCTGATTCTGCCATGCCTTTGTAACCTGATGGGAGGAAAATGTGTATTTGCAGGATGTCAGTATTTCTGCTGTATATTATTAACAACTTACACAGGCTAAGAAAGTTTCTGGAGAACAGGATCTGATATCTACACTTTCTATGGCATGTATCCTATCCATCTGAAATTGATAAAACCTGTAACTTGTTCAGAAGGTGTGTGGCACAGCCTGACTAAGCAGCAGGGCACAAAAGTCATAGCACATAAGTTCTGTAGATATTTCACGAATACTGAATTTGAAGCTATGCTTTTGGTGACCTGTAGAAAGAAGACAATTTATTTTAAATAATTTTCACACATTTTATCATGAATAGCCAGTGCAGAAATACTACAAAATAAATAGCATGAAAATTATTCAAAAAGCACCTCGATCTTATATTTATTTTTTTGCATGCACAAACTGAAATGGGAAACGGGAAAATATGGCTAGTGCCAGTGTGGAATGACTGAGACCTTAAAAAAGAGCCAGAAGATTCACTCCTTGGTGACTAGAAATGGGGAGTTAAAGAGGAGAGAATGAAGTGACAAAGGAAGGAAAACTTTCTTAGTAATTAAGGTTGTTTGTGTGGATGTGACATCACTGTCTCTGGTAGTCTTTAAGAACTGGTCAGACAGACATCTGCCAGAGATCACAATGTCAGGACCCTCCGCTGGGGTTGTGGAGAGTGGAGCAGGTCCCCTCTAAGCTGTACTTCTCTGACTCTGGGATTATTTCCCCCATTTGGCAGGGGGGAAGCTGGCACATGGAGGTCTTGGTTGAAGTCTCAGACAGGACAGCACACCAAGTGGTGCAGCCCAAATTTAATTCATCTCTGGACATTTTACAGCAGAAGCATCATGTCCATACTGCATATAAGCAGCATGCATTGCTTTGAAAGAGTTATCCCATCATCCTTCTGACTGCTCTTCCATCTCTCAGCCTGCCCAAATTCATCTTCACCATCCATTACTGTGGCCATCCCAACACTCCACCACGGCCCAGCTCCACCACAGCTCTTCAGCCTCTCCTTTGCATTTGCTGCACAGCCTTGCAGCTTCTTCCTGTTGCTGATGCCTCTGCTGAGGACTGGACCCTAAAGTAATGCCCCAGGAGCATCCACATATGGCAGCATCAGGCAGAGCAGTTGGGTAGGTCACAGATTTATAGTCCTCTTTCTCACCAAGAGCAATTAAGGCTGCCCTGTTTGGGATGCAGCTCCTCTCCCCTCCCAAGAGTGAGCTGATCTAGTTCAGTCCAGCTCAAGAGATCTTGATGGTGGCACTACCTGACCATGTCCATGCAGTCTGCTTCCAAAGTCCCCATGGGCAGTGGTGGTTCTCTCTCCTGTGCTCACTCCTGAACTGCGCTTGTGCATTGCCTGGGGACATGTGAGCTGACACGGGCCACAGTAATATTGGGGAAGGCATGAACCGTGTAGACAACCGAGTTCTCACACCTGAGGCCAGGCCCTGGCACTATTTAATTTGCTGTTATAGACATAACTGGTGTGAAGAGGTTGTGTACAACTTGGAGCTCCAGGCTCCCTTCTGGGCTGTCATCCCTGTGTCCAGGCCACTACCAGCTTCTACTATTGTGGGACAGATACCACCTGTCCAGCGTTGGTCTGGTGGTAGCTGAGGTACACAGGCATCACAAAAGGTTGGTATAACCACCTCTGCTACAATAATGGGATATACAGTCTCATATTGGGCCTGCAGCAGGGGACCTATGTGACTATATGAATTTGAAGAGATACAACTCCAGGATCCTGCAGGGTCTTGTCACTCAAAGAACCATTTGTGGAGACTGGAGGAAGGTCTCCTAGCTCAACATAGAACATTGCATATTCCAGAACATTGGCATCTTCTATAGGAGACAATTCCTCCCCAGAGAACACAGTCTGTGTTATTTTAGAATAATCTTTTTCATCATGGGTCTGGGTGATACAGGTCTTCCTGGATAGTAGTGTCCAATATCAGGGTTTCAGTCAGCCATTGAGCTTATGTGTTTAAAAAGCTTATACTTAAAGACAGGCTTTATGCGCCTGGTCCACATCACTGGGGCTCTTTGCATCTTCTACCAGCTGTACAAGGATTTGGAGGAGCCTTTCTGTTTAACAAGCACACAGCAAGACAAGACTGCTTTCAAAATGATCCAGCAGTGCTACCAGCAGTGGTTGACCCTGGAAAGTTTCCTGCAGCCATATAGCATAAGCACTAGTATGAGGGTACCCGTGATATGACATCCCTTTGTTCCCTCAGGAATGCTTTCCTGTCTCCCAGCAATTTAACCTGGGAGACAGTCACAGCCTGAAGAGTGTGTACTTCCAGAAGTCATGGAACTACAGGCAAAGGTTTGGGTATCTGTGAAGTTTCCCCTCCTTTTCCCCAGATGCCCTTTTGATGCTGCTCATCCTGCCTGCACCTTATGCTTTCTGGACCCCTTTGTCTACTGTGCTCATCTGGCACAGCTGTGTGACCTGAGGAGCCCAGTATCACACAGCTTTAACTACACAAATATACTTGTTTTACAGCTTGAAAACGAACAAAAAAAAGACCCACTAGGGCAAGTGGATAAAGGACAAACCAAGTAAAGAATAGTCAAGATCACAGTCAGAACCCAGAATGAAGGTCTGGGTTCCTCAGGGACTTGGATAAGAGAATCGAAGATGGTTTCTCTGCCTCCCCTCAAGCAGCCTGGCCAGCATGGTGCTGGTGCCTCCTGCTTTGTACCAGCCTCTGTGGAGAGCTATAAGCTGGCTTTCCCACCATATGGCTTGCCTTCAGCCATGTTCCCTTATGAACTACTGATTCTCTTCCTACATCATGTTTCAGGACAACAAGCTAGCAGTGAGCCCTTAGGTCACAGTGTTCCTGCAAAAACTTGGCAGCATGGCTGTCACTTGGTATTCCAAATGGTGCTGAATTTTGGCCTGCATTTCACTTAGGGAGCTTCTCCACAGTGTCCTTCAGGTGGCCTCATGCCTGGTTCTAGCCTTGAAATCAGAGCCTTGGAGCAGTTGATGCCAACATCTCATTAGAAACACTCATAGAGACAATGATAGCAAGTGTGTCAGTCCTTGCTCAGATCTGGGGACACTCAATACATAGAATCAAAGTAATTCAGGTTGGAAGGGGCCTCTGGAGGTCGCTAGTCCAAAAGCCTGCTCAAAGCAGGGCCAGCTGTGACATCAGACGAGGTTACTCGGTGTTTTCTTCAGCCTTCCAAGGAAGGCCTTTCCAGGTAGCCTGTTCCAGTGCTTGACTGTCCTCATGGTGAAAAAGATTTTCCTTATATCCAGTTCAAATCTCTCTTTTTTCAACTTACATCTACTGTCTCTCAGTCTGCCACCAATCATTTCATCATAAGTCCTGGGGGAGCTGCTGTCAGGTTCCCTCACAGCATTCTCCAGACTGAGCAAGCCTGATTCATTCAGCTTCTCCCTCTGTGTTCCTGGGGCAAGTTCTCCAGTCTCCTGACCATTCTGGTGTCCATCCATTGACCTCACTCTGATTTAGGTATGTCTTTCTTGTACTAAGAGGCCCAAAACCAGACACAGTATTCTAGATGTGGTCTAACGTCTGAGTAGAGCAGGATAATCACTTCCTTTGATTTATTAGCTATGCTTCTGCTAATACAGCCTTCTCGGCTGCCAGGGCAACACTGCTGGCTCCTGTTCAGCTTGCTCTGACCCAAGGACCAAGGACCCCCAGGTCCTTTCCAGCAGAGCTGCTACCCAGCCTGTCAGTCCTCAGCCTGTATTACTGCAATGGGTTCTTCCTTCCTTTGTGCAGGATTTTGCATTTTTCCTTACTGAATTTCACATGTTTCCTGTTAGCCCCTTCCTCCAGCCTCTCTAGGTCACTCTGAATGGTGGCTCTGCCCCTGAGTGTATACGCTGAACCCCCCAGCTCAGTGTCATCTGCAGACTTGAGAGCATTCTGTCACCTCCTCCAGGCATTGATAAAGATGTTAAACAGGACAAGTCCTAGGATAGGCCCCTCCAGTACTCTGCTTGTTATCAGGCTGTCCACCCATTCAGACCACAACATCCCAAATAGGATACAAAGATACTGGATATTGTGGGAGTTAGTGTTGAAAGCCTTGCTAAAGTCAAGGTAAATTACAGTCCTCTCTGCTCATGCACAAACCCAGTCAATGTGTCATACAAAGCAATCAGGCTGGTCAGGCATGATTTACCCTTTGCAAATTCATGCTGACCGTTCACTGTCTTCTTCACTATGCTCTTGCTCAGATCCAGCCTAGCAAGGCCGTACAACCGAAGGCTGCAACTTTGTCATTATTTTTCAGACTGAGTTGCAGGATTGGTTGGAGAAAATCTCTGGGCAGGATGGCCAGAAACAGGTCAGTCTGAGCGACCTCTGCAGCACCTTGTAGCTTAGACCACAGACCACAGGGAAAAGTGTCTCAGAGAACAAGAAAAGGAGGGGAGCACATCACGGTTTATGTCAGCTCTGTAAGGAGTTCTAATAAATAATGTTTCCCTGCTGTATCTTTACAGCTGGTTCTATGTGGTCAGTGGATTGAGATTCACTATTGCAAACAGTCCTGGAGAAGATGGCTCTAATGGATTAAAGACCAGTGGGCAAATGGAGGCAGGGTATGTGGAAATCCAAGTCTTAGGGAAGTCCTTAAAGAAAAAGGCCTCCTC